TGATATTGTGCAAGCTCAGAGCCCTGGAAGGTGCCTATTAGTATTATCATTATAAGTTGAAATACACCAGTCTGGACTTTCAGCAGGTGGGCACCTAAAGCATGTATCTGGCACCAAACTACACCTTAACTTAGGCCCTCAAATTTCACCATTTGCTCTGTAATGCTATGCAAAATAGAAGTCCATGAATGATGCAAATACCTGAACTTGACAGCCTTTTTGCAGTAAGGCATTTTTCCGAGTGAAGATATTTAATAATTTCTGGGATCTGCAGACACAGGGAATTTTGAGAGGGATTTGAAAGAGAGCGCCTGGCACACACAGATGGGGAGGCAGTTGTAGATGTATAGGGCAACATTGAGGATGGCATGATGGTGTGTGTGGCGGGGGGAAGAGAAAGAAGAAGGAGATTAAAGAACAGATGAGGTAAGATTCACTGGTGGAGAGACAGAGGAGAGAGGAGTGGTGAGAAATGCCAGCAGAAACAGATGGAGAGCTATGCAGAGCCTTGTGGGAGAAGGAAAGAAGCTTGAACTTCATTGCATTTCACACAGCCCATAATTATTATTTGTGGTAGCATCACAATATGCCAGGCATTTCCCATAAACATGGGAAGACACAGTCCCTGCTTTGGAGAGGTCCCTGTAGGCAGAACAGAATAAGGATAGGAGACCCAAGCAGGTAGCAGGAGGGAGAGCAGTATATCAAAGCCATGAGCTGTTGTACTGATTTGAGGAGAATTTCCCCCTAAATTGGGCTCTTCTGGTGACAGTTCTCTGCTACTCTGTGTGTTACTAATTAGATTTCTGGTGTTAAATAAAGGATATTTGTTTGATTCTTTTGTTTCAGGAAGGAGACACTGAACACAATTGCTCCCAGTGTAAAGGATCAGGCTCAGCCCCCTGCTCTCTGTGCCATGGAAGCAAGTTTTCAATGTTGGCTAACAGATTTAAAGAGTCCTACAGGGCTCTCCGATGTCCTGCTTGCAATGAAAATGGCCTGCAACCTTGCCAGGTCTGTGCCCAATAATCATATCTACCATCCCTTCAATTACATATGCATATCCAGGTCAATGTTTCACTGAAACCTTAGTACACATTATCTATTCTTCATATAAGAAAGCAACCAGTGTATAACAGCAGGTTATTAAAAAGTGGCAAGAGTGCATTGTGCACACCCCTAAATCTACATGTAAACCTACTCCTGTTACTGTTACTCCACCCTCCTCCCCATCAATTTGTCTGTACATGCCCCTGTTGCGTCTTCTAATTAAATTAGGCCCAATCCTGCAAACACTTACACATTGTGCTTAATTTGACATGTGAGCAATCCAGTGAAGTCAAACGGACTACACATATTTATCACTTAAGCACATGCTTAACTCAGTAGGGTGGGGAATGCATGTTTACATAGTGCCTGGTCCAGTGGGGCTGCAATGCTTGTCTGGGCCCTGTAGGTACTCCTGTAATAAAATAATAACACTAATAAACAGCAGAAGTAGCTGTAGTTTAAGCATGTGAGTAACTTGTCAAATTACAAAATGTTTGTATAAAAACAATGCTGCATGTTGGCAAAACCTCCTCTTAGATTTAACTTGGTGGACATTTTAAAATGATACTTTATTGTGCAATTCACTCGACCCTACAGTGGATTTCCTGCAGATTTCAAATATAGTCTGATGATACACAGCAGTTCTCCCAGTGTATGATTTAAGTAGCTGACTAGAGCCTGTCTCCAGGTCTGAAACCTTATTGAGAAATTACCATGGGGAAATTAAAAATAGAAAAACTGGAGCATTTTATAGCCTGATCCTGAGAAGTGCTGACCCACAGCTCCCATTGATGTTAATGGGAATTGAGGGTATTCAGCTCTGCTCCGCATCAGGCTGTTGGTGAACAGGGCTCCTGTTGCTTCGTATTAATCCCATGTTGTAATTTGCAAAATACAAACTCTAATTACTTTAGCTGAAGCAGTGATGTTCAATTGTTAGCAGGCTACCAGTGGCAGCACAGGACACAAGGGCTTCATAAAAAGTGAAGGCAAACAGGGGAAATGCTTTTTGTTTTCTAAAAGCTTATTACACTTGATATTCTTGGGTAATGTTAATGAAGGTTTAACTTGCATATTACCTCTGAGACTCTGAATTAACAGGCTTTTTACATGCTCCACATGCTGAGGTTGCAAGCCTAGACAGAGTAATTTATGGTTGAGTTTGTACTTTGGCATGTGTATGTTATAAGATTTTTTTGAGACAGTTGCTTTATTAGAAATAATGCCATCCTAGTTTCCAGATCTTCTGATGTTTGTAACTGATATCAAAACTATGCTTTTAAAAAAGTGCATAATAATATCGCAGATAATTTAGTTTCCTTAACTTGGGGAACTACCATTCTGTGCTGTGAATCTGAGTGGATGGGGTCCTGATCTGTGCATGAACTAATGGTAAAATCAACTTCAAAAGTCTGTAATTCTCATTAAGCATATTTCTGTCCTCAGATTTTGTTTGGTTTTCATTTCAAAATGCTTTTCTTGAGTTTTGTTGGCTTTATTTACAGTTTCACCAGTGTAAAATAAATAAATTGTAAATTATTTTTCCTGGTATACATAAGCTGAATACTTACAATAAAAATTAGCTGAAAATGTAAATTTATAAAGTAATATTTATTGTCCATTCTCATTGCCCAGATTCCTTCCCCAACACTATTATCAGGTCTTCACACCTCTCCTTGTCATCTATCCCCATTTACCTTGACCCCTTAGTTTAGCATTTCCATTGTTCGAAAAACTGGGTCTAGTACTGAGATCTATTCTTTCCTATTTACTTCAATAGGAACATTGCCTAAATAAAGCCTATGGATTTCAGGATCTGCGTCTGTGTGCATTGTGAGATAGGTATATGAATTACACATAATATTAAGTACTGTGTTATACAATTATTTGGGTTTATATAATTTTTTACCTTTCAAATTGATTCAGCTGATTTTGGTTATATATTGCCCCGAGTAACTTAATAAATGTTCTCTTACTTTACTGAGTAAACAACACTGAACAATGTGTTTGCTCTTTCTTAAAACACCACATTCAGATGGACACAGTGGGATTATTTTACTATTCATATTTCCATCAGGCACAGAAGCCCCTGTCCGGATAGTTGTCCAATTGTATTAGGCACCATATACAGTATCTGTCCTGTCTGGACTAGCTGCTGGGAGATATGGGTTCTGATCCTAAATTTCTCTGTGATTGTAGCAGAGTCTTTTCACCTCTCTGTGCTTCCACTTCCTTTTCCTCCTTGTGTCTCTCTTGTCTCTTTACACCAGGGGTGAACAAACTTTTTGGCCCGAGGGCCACATCGGAGTTGCAAAACTGTATGGAAGACCGGGTAGGGAAGGCTGTGCCTCCCCAAATAGCCTGGACCCCACTCTCTATCCGCCCCCCAGAGCTGCCCAGAGGATTCAGGGGGCCTGGGGTCTTCGGTTGCGGGGGTCCTTCCGCTCCAGGACTTTGGGGCACTTCACTGAAGACATGGAGCGGAAGGACCCCCGCCACCGAAAACTCTAGTGGGGGACCCTGAAAAGTCTCCTGGGGCAAATTGCTCCACTTGCCCCCCCCGAGGCAGCCCTGCCACCCCCTCCCACTTCCTGCCCCCTGACTGCCCCCCTCAGAATCTCCAACCCATCCAACCCCCTCCCTGCTCCTTGTCCCCTGACCGACCCCTCTGTGGGGCAGGCAGGGACTATTTGTTCTCTGTTTGTACAGCACCTAGCACAGTGGGACCCTGATCCACGACTACATCTCCTAGGTGACACAGCAATGCAAAAAATAATGATGATTCATAATAATGGAGCCCTGATCTTGGTTGGAAGCTGTAGACTCTATTGTATTATTAATGAGAATAATAATGAAGAGAACAAGCCCTATAGGAGGGTGGAGTCAGCGAGTGAGGTAACCAAATGTAAAATCTTTATGTATTTACATTGACACTATCTTTGTGTAATTATTGTGAATAGCTACAATAAGTGCCAGCTGTCTCCCCCTCCCCCAGTCCTCAATCTAGCCAATGTTACGTTGTGGATTTCTTATGAGTGTGGTGCCAGAGGTGGGTCCTGAGCAGAAATTTGAAGGAAAAGAAGGTAGCGACCTTAAGGATCACCTCCACGTTCCATGCATAAGGAGCGGCATTAAAGAAGGAGCGGAGATATTTCCATAAATTGAAAAGTAGGTGAAGGAGGCTGACATCATAGGCACAGTGGAAGAGGCAGGGTCTTGTAATGAGAGATGAGGGAGGGGCAGAACTATGATGGCCCTGGAAGGTAAAGAAAAGAATCTTGAACTTGAAGCAGCGAAACAAGGAGAGAGTGATGTGATTATAGTGACCGCCAGGGAAGGTGATCGCAGCAGTTGTGTTCTGTACGGACCTTGGGGTGGGCATGGGGCAATGTCGGTGTTATAGAGGCCGAAAAGGAAGAGTACATAACAAAGAGATGATAAAGATCTGGACAAGACTTTGGCTGTTTGGCTAGAAAGGAGAGGACAGAGATACAATCTGGCAGAAGAAGCAGAAACATTGGACACAGCCTGAGCGTGCAGGGCAGCAGAGCAGAACTGAAAATGCCTAGGTTACCACTCTCAGGAGGAAAGAGCGGGGTTACCAGTGCCGAGGCTGGGCAGGGGAAGGTAGGAGTGAGACATTCAGAAGGGCAGCCCACTAGTGCCACTCCAGGTATGGGGAAGTGGCCGGGGAACCTTTGCCTAGAGTGAAGCAGACTTGTGGGATGATTTAGGTGGGGATTGGTCCTGCTTTGAGCAGGGGGTTGGACTAGGTGACCTCCTGAGGTCCCTTCCAACCCTGATATTCTGTGATTCTATGATTCTGCTGCCTGGGGCATATGGACCAGCGGCTGCTGCGGGCCCAGAAGGTCCCCAGCCCAAGCCCCTCGGGAGCTCTAGGGGAAAGGGGCGTGGTCAGAAGGCAGGTGGGCGGAGCTGGGCCCAGGCATACCGTGCTCCAACTCGCTGTTAAACCCGCGCCCGGGCCAGGCATGTTACAGCCCCACCCCTCGCCTGCAAGTTGGGGAAGTTCGTAGGGGAGGCAGCTGCGCTCGCCGGCCCCGGGCATGGGGGTCACGGTGGACGTGCACCAGGTTTACAGATACCCCTTCGAGCTGGTGGTGGCCAGCTACCTCCGCAAGGTAACAGGAGGGGGCTCGAACCCCCGCTTCCACGGCCCCTTCCCTAGCGGTTCAGCCTGGGCTCTGCCCCGGCGCTCCCGCTGCTCCCTCCCGGGCTCTTCCCCCGGCTGCAGCCCGCCGCGCGCCTGGCTCAGCTTGGCTGCCCGCAGGCTGCGCCCCCGGCCGGCTACTGTGTCCGCTCTGCGCTGCGCGGGCTGCCGGGACTTCCTTGCCGTGCCGGCGATTCCCCCCTTCCCCCCCGCCCCCACGGCCTCCATTTTGGGGCCAGCTGGCTGGGGATGGCCCGCGAGGGTACCTGTGGTCGGTCTAATGCAGGAGTCAGCGGTTATTTATGCCCCTGTGGTGGAGCGGGCCATGCCCTAGTTCCTTCCTGCGGCGCCTCCCCGGTGTTTGCACAGGGCGGCGGCCGCTGTAAGCGGGACCTGCCCGGACTCTCGCTGGGGAGACGCTCACTGATCTGGGGGGCGTTCATGTCAAGACCTCCCCAAGTGACCGCGGGTCTGAGTGATGTGCCATTGCCGCCTTCGGCTCCAAACATCCTGGTTCCCCCCCGAAGAGCTACTCGCGGCTGTGTTAGACTCAGGGTTCACGCTGCGAAGTATCACGGACTCTTTTTCCCCCTACTTTGGAAATTCCTCCTCCCTCAGAGCTATTTCCCAGCCTCCTTTCCAGCGCCGGTGTTTATATTCACCCTTTTCTTGGAGGTCTCTAGTGCAAATCACTTAACTTCAGCTGAGGACAGAGAAGTCCGTATGTTGGACTTGAATTTCACTGTTCAAAGTCCTTCTTTTAAAAAGCGAGTGTACAACAAATGGTAGGCAGTGGTTACAGGGTACAGTTATGGGACCCTTTAAACTGGGGTCACGAGCCACCCTTTGAGAACGGTTGCCATATCCTAAAAATTATGTAACCAAATGAGCTGCCAGTGCTGCATACCCTTATGATCATATCAATAAACAGCATGCTGGTTCTTGAAAACACTGTCTTCCCCATATTGGTTAGTTTTATAGACTTGCAGTGCAAGCCTCTTCCCTCTCCTGCTTTTAAAAGCAATTTTTAAAGCAACACTCACTGTTAAATGTACTTAACTTAAAAAAAAAAAAGTTGTAAATAATTTCAGCTACTACTACACCTGGAGTTCCTCTGCCAGTTATTGTGGTTGTGTGCACTTAGACATATAAGATATAGAAAATGTTTTCTCTCCTGTGTTGCTGTGTGAAAGACACAATGAAATTGACTGGACCCAAAGATTCATCAAATGCTCAAAGTAAACAAACGGGACACTTTGGGGGTTAGAAATATTTGTTCTCTGATCTCTTTCAGTCCTAGTACTCTTAGGTGTTATTACCATATCCAGCGGTTCTCAAACTTTATTGCATTGCAACCCCATTCTGACAACAGTTATTGTATGGTGAGGAGTGGAGGCGGGAGCTTGAGTCCCACGTGGGGGTGGAACTCGGGTTTCAGCTTCAGCCCTGGGTCCCAGCAAGTCTAATGTGGGCCCTGGCAACCCCATTAAAATGGGGTCATGACCCACAGTTCGAGAACAGTTGCCAATACTAATAATAGATACAAATGTGTGACTTGTAAATTGCCATTGTTCCTTCAACTATTTCTTTTGAGGCCAGGTAGTCTCTTACACTTTTTTGACTCAGTGTTCTGGTGGTTTTTTTGGTCTGTGTAGCCTTGTAAATGGAAGGAAGTGACGAGCAACTATTGGCAGAAGAAACTGTTAGTTGTGAGCTCGGTATTTCTTTCTCTCTCTCTCTGTGTATAATTATGTTTCTCACTTGGATGAAAGCATACTTTTATGCAGACCTGTGATACTAATTTGTCTGTCATTTCCGGAGTAGTGGTCTCTCCAGCACTGCCTTACCTCTCTTTCACTTTCAGCAGTTGTTGCCTTGCGACCTTACCCACATATCTAATCTGCACTGGTGCTTTAGGCAGTGTGGGTTAGTACCTGATAACACTTTCAGGGCTATAACTATGCTAAACTGTGATGTGTTTTAAATCATACTTTTCTGTTCATCTGTGTAAGATTCAAGTCTCCATGTAGACATCTGTGGAATAGTAACCAACCCCATTTACTTTATAACATAGTCTGCACTCCTGCAAGTGCATACGCATGGGCATCCCACTGCTCTGAGCCAGAATGAAGTCAGAGGAACTCTGTGAGCACAGGGTTCTGTTGACAGACTGCTTTTGCAGGATTGGGCCCTTAAATATCTGTGTTCTTAAAGGGACTCTATTGAAGTGAGTGGGCCCAGACTTTGGATTTTCTTTAAAAACAAAAGTCAGTAATGTTTCCATGCTATGATATGAATAAATAATAGTGAAATCATTTTCTTTGGCTGTAGACATCCTCCTAGAGAACCCATAAACCTAGTGTTGCAGTTAGTCTTTTACACCAGAGATGTGAAATTGGTTACTCTCTCAGTTGTCCAAAATGATAGTAGTGCAAAAACTACATATTACTATGGGAAGTAGATTTCTAAAAGTGAAATAATTTTAAACAATTAAATGTGGTGTTCAAATGGAGGTAAATGATGTCTCATTGTTGGAGCTGGGCTTGGCCATGTTGCATCCTAGTAAATTTCCCTTCTGCACCTTACACTCTTGTACACCTAAAAATGGCCATACTGGGTGAGAACAAAGATCCATTAACCCAGTATCCTGTCTTCTGACAGTGGCCGATGCCAGGTGCTTTAGAGCAGTGCTTCTCAAGCTGTCTGATGTGGGGTACCAGCAATTTTTTTTTTTCCAATGTGTGCACAGACTGGCAGCTGATGGCTTGTGGACTGGCACCAGTCCGCGGACCACCACTTTGAGTAGCACTGCTTTAGAGGGAATGAACAGAATTGGTAATCATCAAGTAATCCATTCCCAGTTTCTGGCAAACAGAGACTAGGGATAAGTTCCTGAATGTGCATCCAAACTCTTCTTTTACTTGTTGTTTTTCCTTTGACTAAAATAACTTTTTGGGGCTGAATTGTAATCTTTGTGTAATATGCTGATCCTGGTTTCATTGCCTCGAACGGTGGCTCTTTTCTTATAAGAACAAAGGGAAAATCCAGAGCAGAGCCCACAATATTTTGTTTTTTGCAACATATGCTTTAAACATTAACATGACATTGACAGTAGAGAAACGGCTGTGTAGCACAGGGCATCTCCATGACTCCAGTCACAAATAATGCTGTTTGTTTCTTCAGAACATCTTACAATGATAAGAAGTAGAGTGGAGGACGTTCTGCAAATTGCTTTCCAAAATGCAAACTCTCACGAAAGCCAAGCATGGGTTCATACATTTTGGTCTGAATTGGCTGAAACAGTAACTTGCATGTCCCTTGGGACTCATCAGAAGAGAGCAGCTGCAGTGTCCTCAAGAAAAACATCATTCCTGAGGAGAAACAGAAATCTGTGCGTGTGTGCCCTTAAAGCAAAATCTTACTATGATCGAGGTAGTGCTGTGAAAACTATCAAACTGCATGGCTCCAAAGTCCAATCTTATAATTGACAGAGCATGTGCAACTTGCTGTGGCCCTGTGAAGTCCTGTCAGAGCTCATAGGGTTCTGTGCTGGCACAACTGTCAGTCCATGCACCGTCAACTGCAGAAAAGGGAGGGACCAAGATCGCTTTCTGCTATCTGAATCAAGAGTGGGCTGCGCTACTCATTAAATAAAGACGTCCTTTCTAAAGCTGCTGGTGTCCTGTGTCCCCAGGAACAGAGGATGTCTACTTCTAGGTTGGGGTTTTTTATTTTTATTAAGGGTTCTGCCACCTCTTTAAAAATCTTATAACCTTAGGGTTGTTAGGGGTGAGTGTTATTGCTCTCCTTTCAAGAAATAATGTGGTTCCTTTTTGTTTTGAAAACTCATGGGGGATCTCCTGGCCCTATTCAAGTCAATGGGGATTTGGCCATTGACTTAAATGGGGTCAGGGTTTCATCCTGTGTAGTTCACCAGGGAATCCCTGATAGTATATGTGAATAAGGGCCTATAAAAAACATGGTCATGTTTTGTATTTTTATTGACCAAATGTTATGGCTCAACACTAAATTGCATGGATTCACTGCAGTGGTTTCATGCTGTAATCTGAAACCCCGTACAAGCCATTTTTGGTTATGTTAAACTTTTCAATATTATTCCACAATCTCTTTCTCAAAAACCTCCATGTCACATTGTTGAACAGCAAGTGCAGACAGAAGTGCAGTGTGCAGTCAGTCTTTCTCTTCTGTTCTATTAATCTTCCACAGCTGTTCCTTAACACAAAAACAAACAAACAAAAAAACCACCCACTACTCACACATGACCCTCTGCGAAGTTAGAAAAAATAATATATTGTCCCAGTTCCTGTACTCTTGATCTGTAAGGCTGGCAAGCTCAAATAGACATATTTAATAACTTTTGCATTTTAGAATGATGCATAACAGTTAACTAATCAGAATGGGATGTGCTTTGAAATCCTAGAATGGAAGGGACCTTGAGAGGTCATCTAGTCCAGTCCCCTGCACTCAAGGCAGGACTAAGTATTATCTAGACCATCCCTGATAGGTGTTTGTCCAACCTGATCTTAAAATCCCCAATGATGGAGATTCCACAACCCCCCCTAGGCAATTTATTCCAGTGCTTAACCACTCTGACAGGAAGATTTTCCTAATGTCTAACCTAAACTGCCCTTGCTGCAATTTAAGCCCATTGCTTCTTGTCCTATCCTCAGGGGTTAAGAAGAACAATTCTTCTCCCTCCTCCTTTTATGTCCAGTTTGTCCATATCTTTCCTGAAACGTGGTGCCCAGAACTGGACACAATACTCCAGTTGAGGCCTAATCAGTGCGGAGTAGAGTGGAAGAATTACTTCTCGCGTCTTGCTTACAACACTCCTGCTAATATATTCCCTGAATGATGGTTGCTTTTTTTTTTTTTTGCAACAGCATTACACTGTTGACTCATATTTAGCTTGTGATCCACTATGACCCCCCAGATCCCCTTCCGCAGTAC